TGATATTCTTTCTCTCTGTAAGTACCCTGCTCTCTAGGATTTTGCCCCTCATGCGTCAGTCACTTTGATTACCCAAATTCCAACTCCATATCTCCTCAGTCAAGGGAGACTTCCCTTTTCTAATTCAGCTCTATTCTCCAATCCTGCAAATTGGGAAATGCCCTCAGGTAAAAAGCTGGAGTCCTGTGGAACTCACCTCATGAGCCTTCCTTCTTTCAAGGACTGCAATTCTTCAAGACCTGCCCTTGGTTGTTCTCTGAAGCCTTCAAACAATTGTTTTATATCTTGTCCAGCTTTTCTAGTTGTTTTCACCAGGAAGGTTAGTTAAAACAAGCTATTCTGTCATAGCCAAAACTTTAAAGTCCTCTTTGAATTTTTGAGGTGACATGTGCTAGTAATAGGAGAATCACAGCACTCGACCTAGAATTTTAGAGCAAACCTGTACTTTTTTCTGTAGACAACTATTCTCCTTTTGAAAAATAGTTCCTGGTGCAGATTGAATGCCTGACCAGGGAACACTTAATGACTAGGGGACCCTAAGCTGTCCCTTATGTATTGGATATGAATTTGAACAAACCAAATATAACATTGGCTATGTACAGAAATATCCCATCCTCAATTGCAAATAATAAATGTTATATTAGGTCAAGCAGATCTCAAAGGCATAAGTAAATTGCATGAGCAGTTGTCTTAGACTCCCATGACACACAATCTTGCTACATTGACACCTTTCCATCAACTCTAACATGCATCCTCATGGAAAATGTCCTATAACCAACTCCCTCAAGAAGAAAAAAAATTCAGGCCTGATTTACAAACAGTTTTTCAAAATATGCTGAGTCCACCCAAAAGTGGACTGCTGCTGCATAAGGCCCCATTCAGAAGGGCCTGAACTATCAACTAGAAGGTAAATCCTGTCAGTGAGCAGAATCTTGGGCAGTGCATCTGGCTTTTTTCCTGGTAGGTTTAGAAGATGCAATGGAAAGAGTAAGGATCTATACAAATTTATGTGCAATGGCTAATGGTTTGGCTGGAACATGAAGGTATTTGGAAAGAACAAGGTGAGAGGATTCATAAAGAGGGAATCTGGAGAAGAGTTAAGGTTTTAGATCTCAGAAGGGGCACAAATTGTAAAGATACTTGAGTCCCATGTAACTGTTTACCAAAGGGTATCCATGGTAGAAAAAGCTTTCCAACATCATCAAGAGTAGGCAAGGTCAGGTAGACAAGATGATTGTCCCATGGAGATCAGTCAGACTCATAATGAGAATGAAGGTTACACCATTGGAGTAAAGTGCTGGGCCGTTGAGGGCTGTTAAAGATGTTCTCCTCATTATCAGCAAAGCCTAGGGACATCCTTGCCCCTCTCGTTAGGAGATGCGAGGGAGTCCATCCCTGAGGAATAGTGGGTGCAGTGCCCCATAGGAGCACCATCTTAAGGGAAGTACCCCAGGAGGCTTCCTTGAAAGGAGGGGCTGAGGGTTGAATGGGCTATGCTTCAGCCTTCAACAAGGCCTTGCTCATAGACACCACAGGAAACACCAGTATGGATCAGGCTTAACAGGTGAGAAGAGCTAGGGATGGAGTGCCCAGAGGTAGGCAGAGAAAACTGGGGTGGGGAGGCAGGGGCAGGGAGGCCAGAGCCTATAAACCAGGGATCAAGAAGACTTATTGGGTGGACACAAAAGGCAGGCAGCTAGGATCCAGGATGGTTGTGCATACATGGGCTGTGAGATCTTAGACCACATATTCTGGGAGGTCTGGGTAAGAGAGGGTGCTCACAGGTGGGATTCAAATCACCTTGGCCAACAGCTTTCCACAGGAAAGCAAGACTGATAAGAGTAGTAACCATTGGAAACACTAGCAAACTTTGCACTCTTACATGTTCCAGGTTCTGGTATAAGCTTTGTCCAGAACTCTCTCTGTAAAGACTCACAACAACCCCAGGTCACAATGAGGGAAAGGGGCTGAGAGGGGAATGGCTTGCCCAAGGTCACACAGCTGAAGGCAGGAGCTGGGATTGCAGTTCAGTCCTTTCTGACTCACAAATCCACACACTTAAGCACAAAGGTCCACGTGACATAATGAATGTAAAGATCCCACTGGCAGCAGCTGCTCCCTAGGGGGCTTTTCCTCTCAGCTCCTTAGTGAACCAATGAGAACACCGAGGCTCAGGGCCCCCAAGTCACAGCAGTGAGCGGCAGAACTGGCTCAGGAGCCAGGACGCACAGCTGACAGGCGGGGCTCAGTCTCTTACAGCAGGTCGGCTACAGGACAACCTCTCACCAGCCATGGCCTTGGACAATCGCCTGTCCTTTTCTGATCCCCAGTTTCTCATCTGTTGAAGGGGTATAACCACACCTTGGCAGGCCTGGATGAGAAGTGATGATGTACATAAAGTACGTAACGTGCACACTCGGGTGATGGGTTGTTCGGTCCTTCTCTGTCCCCACCAGCACCGTAACTGGCTCACAGACTATCCTGACGCGGAGAACCTGCTGGGGCAAGTTCTGTGCCCACAGAAACAGCATCTTTTCGGCCCTAAGCACAGGCTGCATCACTCAGGTGCAGTATGTAATTTCAAATAAAACAAGAACGGTGCTTGGAAATATCAAATGTGAAATTCTTTCGGGAAGTATTTTTGGTGCCCCTGCCTTGTGATGGCCCAGCACATGTCTGCTCTCCCTGCTGGATAGCCCAGCCCCACCCTTCAGTGAGTAGCATGTGCCACCTCTCCACCAGGGTCTCAGCACCCCTAGCTCCATCTATAAAGCAGTGGGACAGAGGAGGCGGGAGAGGGGCAGAGCTGGACTAGATGGCCCCTTAGGACTTCTCTGGCTTTGGCCCTCTTTGTTTCTGCCCCTCAGATCCCCTACTCTGCCTCACCTGGACCCATCAGCATGACTGCCTCTCTGAGAACAGAACTGTCCAGGGCAGGGCAGTTTGTAACCCTTCAGGTGTGAGTAAAACCTGGTCATGAACTTGTTGGATGGGGTTTGGTTAACTAAGGGATAACCCTTTTAATTTGGGACAAAACAGCTTCACTCTTTTGCTAGGTCTGGAGGCAGGGGACCGACTTCTGGATCATTATTTCAAACAAGGATTTGCATTGTCAGGTAACTATTCTCAACTTAGTACTTACCATATGCAGACTCAGATAAAATTCTGAAATAGAGATTTGTCTCATGTTATCCATGGGGGGGAAAAACAGAAAGGGAAATAGAAAACCTTGGTCCTAATGTTTTCTCCCCTGTAAACTTGAACTTCTGGATTCTCCAGGGGGGAAAATGGCATAGAAGAAAGAGTCCTGTCCTAAGAATCAGAGACCTGAGTTCTGGTGGTGACTCTGCAACCAATGCAGGTGGCAACTGAGAAAGACCCTGCTCAGTCCCTGGCCTTCAGGGGAAAGTGGTTGGCCTTGAAAATAAAAAATAAAAAAAAGATTTTTCCAGTTTTTACATTGGTGGTTTTATGCATAAGAGGTGTGAGAAGAGAAAGAAATTAGAGGTGACTCCAGGAAAATCACAGGGACACTGCTCACGGAATCACCAGGATCAAAGAGGCAGCCATACCACTGTCAACATGAACTTGCCGGGGGTGGGCGTGGGGTAGTTGCTTAGTCTGAGGGACAAGTCTAAAGTGGAGGGGGGTGGATCAGCGCTTCCTTTAGCTCAAGTCCCCCAGGTCTGTGGGTTGAAGACACTCTCTTCTGATTCCTCTGGGAAGAGTTCTTGGGCTTTGAGCAGATCTTCAGTTCCTATCAACCATGCCTCCCAAGCCTTCCCAGGCCACATGACAACTTCTGACCAGGGACTTGGGAAGCCTGCTGGGCAGTGGGCACTCAATGGTTAAACAGGAGCACCTGCTGGGCTGCAGCAGCCAGTAGGGAGGTGAATTCAATGGAGCAACACAGACATTGTCTTGGATTCTCTGTTGCTACCCAACTGCGGGAGAACCCATTATGACTTCAGACTCTAATCAGAAATGACTCTTCCCACCGAGAGCATGTTCATTGTCATTCCCCTCACTGTAACATGACAAAGGCCCCACACCCAGAGACAAGATACAGAGTACTCAGCTTAGATGGAGACAAGCAGAACCATAGGACCAAGCAAACGAGAGAGAAAGGAGCCATTCCCTGGTTAATAACTATGGTGGAAAGACAACATGTTGCTGTAAGCATTGGAGAAATCAGCCCTCCTTAGCAACGCAGTGACAAAGATGTCACCTTTTTTTTAAAACTTAAAGTAAATGCCAAAAGATAAAGAAGTGTAGAGGCCTGGTTTAAGAGATCTGATATCCCTAAATGATCAGATGGGATGTGGAAAGAGGACCAGTGGAAGTTCTTCCATAACACTTAACACAATTGCAGTTAAATAATTGTGTAGTTTATTGCTTAATGTTTCTTTCTCTGCTGCTAGAACTTCAGCTCCATGAGGTTGGAGACCTCTGTCTTGTTCAACGTGTCTACTACAAAACCATGTGTTATATGTTCCAGCATATAACACATGGTTTTGTATATCATAGGTGCTTTTTCCATACTTGGTTCAAAAAGAAAACAGGGAATTCTGGGATAGGATGAAGAGAGGGCCCATCATGTTTCTTTTAAAGTCACTGTAAATAAATATGGTTATATTAACTACACAGTGATCATTATTATTATTTTTTAAAATATATTTTATTGATTTTTTACAGAGAGGAAGGGAGAGGGATGGAGAGTTAGAAACATCGATGAGAGAGAAACATCGATCAGCTGCCTCCTTGCACACTCCCTACTGGGTATGTGCCCGCAACCCAGGTACATGCCCTTGACCGGAATCGAACCTGGGACCCTTGAGTCTGCAGGCCGACGCTCTATCCACTGAGCCAAACTGGTTAGGGCTCACAGTGATCATTATTTAATTCTCATTCCAGAATCACTGCTTATCCTGTTTTCCAGATAATGTGCCTGGTTCTCACGTTTTCACTACCCACCTACTGGGCATCCAGCTTAACCCATCATGCAGACCACAGCCTGTAATGGATCAGAGGATTCCTCAACCATCTTCTACCTAACAGGCATCCCCTCTTTGCCGAAATCTCTCTTCCTTTCTATCTTCTTTGTCTTTCTCCTCCTCTATCTGCTCATTGTTGCAGGTAACACCCTGATCCTGGTGGCTGTGGTGGCAGAGCCCAGCCTCCACAAGCCCATGTACTTTTTCCTGATCAATCTCTCTGCCTTGGACATCCTTTTCACCACAACCACCGTCCCCAAGATGCTGTCCCTGTTTCTGCTCGGGGACCACTTCCTCAGCTTCCCTGCCTGCTTCCTGCAGATGTACCTCTTCCACAGCTTCTCCTGCTCTGAAGCCTTCATCCTGGTGGTCATGGCCTATGACCGCTATGTGGCTATCTGCCGCCCACTGCACTACCCTGTCCTCATGACCCCACAGACCAATGCGGCACTAGCAGCCAGTGCCTGGCTCACGGCCCTCCTGCTGCCCATCCCAGCAGTGGTGCAGACATCCCACATGGCTTTTAGTTCTGTGGCCCAGGTCTACCACTGCTTCTGTGACCACTTGGCTGTGGTCCAGGCTTCCTGCTCTGACACCATGGGCCAGACCCTCATGGGCTTCTGCATCGCCATGGGGGTGTCCTTCCTGCCCCTTCTGCTGGTGTTTCTCTCCTATGCCCATATTCTGGCCTCCATTCTTTGCATCAGCTCCCGAGGAGGACGTTCAAAAGCCTTCTCCACCTGCAGCTCCCACCTCCTGGTGGTTGGCACATACTACTCCTCTATTGCCATAGCCTATGTGGCCTATAGAGCTAACCTGCCCCTGGACTTCCACATTATGGGCAATGTGGTGTTTGCTATTCTCACACCTGTCCTCAACCCTCTCATCTACACACTGAGGAATAAGGATGTCAAAGCAGCCATCACCAAAATGGCATGTCCCAAGGGCCTAAAGAATGCTGGGAAACCCTGATTCGTAGGTATAACTTGACCTATTCACAAACACCAATAACAATAGAGGGAAAAGTTGACAATTGAAGCAACCAGATAGTTAGAACAATAATTCTCAAAATATGGCCTTAAGTATTCCTCTGCTGTAATAAAATAATAATTTTCTTTCCTTAATTCACAGACAAAATGGATGGGAGTTTTCTGTTTAATTTTTAAGCTGTGAATCCCAACTTCACAAGATTGTGAATATAATTGTGGTCACATTTCCATTAATTCAAAGTATTTTGATTCTCAGAGACTCCAAGTATTTTACCAGCAATAAATTCAGTCTTTTTCCTTATATCTCTTCTTCCAGTATTTCTAAACATCCCCAGGATTGTTGACATCTAGACATGAATCCGTCTTGCCCTTATTGTTAGAACAGCACCTTAGAAACCCCTTTCAGGGATTAAAGTCTGACTGCTACCATTTCAATCCCTGTTTCCTAAAAATTCACTGCCACTACCAATATTTCAACACCAGTCACACAAGATATTTACCTCTAGACCCTCATGGGGTCATTCAAAAGCAGGCCCTTCCTCTAGCTTATGCTTAGGCAAGTGGTGCCCCTTACCAAACCTGTGTGGGCACCAAAGCATTACAGTTCTTTTGGTTCCCAGCCACACCATAGTTTTCCCATCCATGACAATGGGGAGCTTAGTAGAGAAGTTTGCCCTTATCAGTAGGATCCTGGGTCCAGGACCTCTACTCTTTCTCAAAACACTGTCTTACGAATTCCTCTTTCTGGCTTAGTGGCCATCCCCGTGTCCTGGTTCCCTTCCCCTATGCCTCATTTCCTCTTGAAGACCTGCTGAATTTAACTTAAGGGCTTGCAGAGAAATTGTTTCTCTCTCTACTCCACTACCACCCAATAAACAACTTCAAAATACCCTCACGTCACCACTAAAGCCCTGCTTTGTGCAACTCTCTTCTGGTATCTATTTCCGTTTCAGTTCAGGGCTTTGGTTTCCTGGATGAGCCTCATGACATCCTTTCATGTTCAGTTCCCTTTCTAGATGGAGCAATGAATTAATCACATGAAGAGTGGATCAGAGCAACATGGATCTCCAGGCTAGTTCCACCCCCACACACTATTGTGGCTCCTCGTCACATTTTCCATGAGTGGACATGAAATAACAATGACAACAATAATAATGTTTTTCACCTGGAGCTTTATCTGCTAATTGGCAAGTCCCTCTGCATTTTCAAATTTAAAAAACAGTTTTAACTTCATGCATCAAAGGATACCACCAAGAGAGTGTGAGAAGACAACACACAGAAAGGGAGAAAATACATGTAATATATTTTCTTGCAAATCACATATCTGATAAAGTATTAATATCCAGAATATATAAAGAACTCCTGCAACTCAACAACAACAAAAAACAAACAACTTAACTCCAAAAATGGGCAAAAGACTTGAATAGATACTCCTACAAAACAGATATACAAATGTCCAACAAGAACATGAGAAGATGCTCAACATCACCAGCCATCAGGTAAATTAAAACCATAATGAGATACCCACTTTGAACCCAGTAGGATGGCTATTATAAAAAAAATAGAAAATAATAAGCATTGGTGAGGATATGGAGAAATTGGAACCCTTGGGGAAAAAATGGGGCAGGCACTGTGGAAAACAATACGGAGACTTCTCAAAAAAAAACCCCAACAAAATAAATATAGAAATACCAAATGATCTATCAATTCCTCTTCTGGGTATATATTCAAAAGAATTGAAAGCAGGGCCCTAAGAGATATCTGTAAACCTATGTTTATAGTGGCTTTATTCACAATAACCAACTATCCATCAACAGATGAACAAATAAACAAAATGTGGTATATACATACAATAGAATATAATTCAGGCTTAAAAAATACTAAAATTCTGATACATGCCACAACATGGATAAAACTCGAAGACATTATGCTAAGTGAAATAAGCCAGACGCAAAAAGACACATCACATGATTCCGCTTACATGAGGCATGAGGGATAATCAAATCATAAAGACTGAGAGGAAAACAATAGTTACAGGAGCTGGGGGTGGAGAGGGGAAGGGAGAGTCCCTGTTTGATGTCTATGGAGTGTCCACTTGGAATGATGAAACGCTTCTGGAAACAGGCAGTGGTGATAGCTGCACAACACTGTGCATCGATTTAATGTCCCTGTAGATTACATTTAAAAATGGTAAGTTTTATATGACGTATACTTTGCCACAATCAAAATATATTTAAAACACCGTTTCACCAGGCCCTGGGTCCCAGGCCCCTGAGTAGCCAGGGGCCTGCCTGCCCCTGGTCAGATGCCCACCCCTGGCCCATAAGCTGTGGCCAGAGGGAGGTATGTTGTTCAATCACATGGTTTAACACGGACACAAACAGTCGTGGAGCAGCTTGCCTTAAAAAGTGGGGTGGGAGGAAAGGCATTTGACACCTGCCGCACTTAGGGGAGTCCTTTCCCCATCTGTATCAGGAGACTGTTGTGAAGATCTGAGTGAGAGCAGGTAATTTCATCTCCCCAATATCTTGAGACGGCATCCGCTCCTCTGCATCCCCACATCATCAACCCTGGGGCAGATGTACCACCTTCTCTCTCCTGAATGAGCACAACGGTCTCCTCACTGGTCCCTCCGCCTGTGGGCCCGCCGTCCATTCCATAAGTGGGCAGAATGGGTTTTCTGACAGACAAATCTGGTTACCTTACCACCCTCCACATAACTGGAAGGCTCTCGCTAATGTGGCCTGAAACGGCCTCTTTGACTGCAAATCTCACCATTGCCTCTCTCATGGCAATTCTGAACTTCCTTCAGTTTCTCAAACACACCAAGTCCTCATTCTCACCAATGACTCACTCTTCTCTCTTCCCAAAGCCCTCTTCCTCTTTGTCTACGTCAGCTGGCATCTTACTTGGGCTTCTCCTGAAACATCATCTTCTCAGGGGAGCCTGCCCTGGCACCTCACCCTGAAATGCGAGGTGGGTGCCATTCACATGTTCTCCCTCAGCAGTTTATAATCCCCCCCTCCCATGGTGGCACTTTTTTTATTTCTGGACCTTAGGAGACGAGAGCTCTGAGCACATTATACCCATTAGCCTGTGCAAGCTCCTTGCTTGTTTTATTCATCTTCCTCTTTATCTCCATCTCCCCAATTTCCATCCCATTCTCCTTTCCCCACTTAAGCATCCGTTCTGATGTGTTGGATGTCCATCCATAAATATAAACATATCTTTGTAAAATATGTCATGTGCTTATGTATGTACACTTTTAATTTATATGTGATGTTACACATCTCAGTTTATTTCTTACATTTGCATTCAGTTCCAAGTTTTAGATCTGCTATGTTGCTGTTTATTCATCTAGTTTCATTGGCACCAATTGATGTATAATATTCCGTAGTATGACTTCCTCACATCTTACTTTCTTCTCCTAGTGGGGGACACTGAAACCACCTCCAACTCTTTGCTACTACAGTGTCTTCGTAAGTGTCCTTGTGTATGTCCTTTCGTGGAGCCCCTGGAGGATTTTCCCTGGAACATAGGACAAGGAGTCGGGTTAGTCATCGGTTATGCATAAACTTGAGCCAAACATAGTCTCCTCACTATTTGCAGATTCTGTATTTGCAAATTTGCTTACTCACTAAACCCAAAGCCAATACTCGTGGCACTTTCAGGGTCACTACCGGACATGCCCAGAGCAGCAAAATATCTGAGCCGCCCACATCCATGCTCCCAGTTGCCTAACAAGGCAACACTCTGCTTTCTTGCTTCAGCTTCCACTGCATACAAGTGTCCTTTTCATAGTCTATTTAGGACCATGGTTTTTTGTTTTTGTTCTGCATTTTTTGTGCTGGAAGAGGGGCAGTGATTTTGCTATTTAACATGGTACCCAAGCATAGTGCTGAAGTGCTGTCTAGTGTTCCTAAGCACAGTGTGTGATGTGCCTTCTAGAGAGAATACACGTGTTAGATAAGCTTCATTCAGGCATGAGTTACAGTGCTATTGGCCGAGTTCAATGTTAATGAATCAACAATGTATTAACTAAGGTGCTTTTAAATAGAAACACACATGAAACAAGGGTATGTATTTGATCAGCTGATGAAGATGTTATGACCAGAGGCTCACAAGAAAATAACCCTGTATTTTTCCTAGAAGAATGATTCAGTATTTGCTAATTCAGTGTTCACTGCTACTTTATAGAATGTAACTACCACAAATAATGAGAATTGACTTTACTTTAATATTGTTTCCTAGAATAGTTGTACCATTTATACTCCCACCAACAATGGACTATGTAGTTCCCATCTTCCCACATACTCACTAACATTTGATATATTATCCAACTTTTTAATTTTTTGCCATCCTTATCAGGCTAAAGTGCTACCTCATTCCATTTAATCTGCATCTCTCTAATTACTAATGCATCATCTCTGTAAATACTTGTTAGCAACTAGCATTTACTCTTATGTGAATTGCTTATTGAGAACATTTGCTCATTTTCTTTGGAATTCCTGTATTATTTTATTGCCTTCAGGACTTCTCTACGTTTGTTCCTTGGCAACTTTAAATATTGCAAATATATTTTCAAATTTGTGATCTGTCCTTCATGTAGCAGACAATCTTAATTTTGATATACTCAATTCCATCACATTTTTTACCTTTTGGTATGTGAGTTTTAGCTTTTCTTACAACTATTTCACCAGGGTATTTCCCAACATTTTCTTTTCATTAGCTTCTTAGTTTTATCTTTCACATGTATACTTGAATCCATGGGGAATTCCTGTTGGTTTAACATGTAAGGTAGCAATTCTGTTTTATTTTTCTTCATGCTGAAAGCTATTTTTCCCCCAATCTATCTTTAAAAATCCGTTCTTCCTCATTGTTGTATAGTTCCATCTTTATTAATTTCAAATTCCTATACACCTTGTTTACTTCTGAGCTATTTAGTTCTATTATCTATTTGCCTATGGCTAGACCAGTACCATA